GGGGGGCGGGGGGCTTATGTTTTGCATGTCTTAGCGGTTAGACCATTGACCACGCGTCCTCGAGAGGACGGAGCATTGTTCCCACAGTTACAGTACAGTTGCGCGGGCCGGGGGGGGGGGGGAGTTAACTGTTTTCAACAGTTGTGGTTTTATCGGGAAATTATTTGTGACACGTGTGCCTTTTGGGCTCGGCGGTGATCAGGTCTGCTAGAGGGAGGCATTGGAGGGCATGGGGTGATCAACTGCAGCAACAAACGCAAGCCTTGCAGCCGAATAGGCAAATGGCCTTGCCGCGAAAACTATATACCACATGTGAGGGCTTGTAGCCTGATGTATTGATGTCCTTTTTTGCCAAGAGGGGAGAGCTACTCGTGTCGATGGTATGGGAGGTCAACCTCGTGCCCCATTTTAGCCAACATCTGTACAGGTTCCTTGCTCTTGCGCTTGTGTAATCTAATGTATCCAGAGAGCGGGCGCGGAGGACAAGGGGGTCAGATATGGATCATTGAGCACCTCCGGTGATTGTTGTGTAGTGGAATAAAGTGACGTGTGTGTTCGTTGCATCGCGTTATTTCCTTGGGACTCTACTACACGCGCGCATCACGTGCTGTGCTCATCTCTTGTGTGTATGTGTGTAAAATTGTACCGCTAGTGTCGCCGACTTGTGTCTGAATTCACGGAACGACTGAATAGTGCAAGTTTTGGTTACTTGTATGGGTTAGGAGAAGGCGGACGACGAGGGACCAACGTTGTTACTGCAGCGTTTTTCCTCACCGTATCAAGTCCGTTCGTTTATTGGGTCACCAGTTAGCCCTTCGCAAACGCTGGAAACGCGAATGTATGTCTGTCAAGTTACGTCGGTTTAAGGTATTTAAAGTACCTCTTAATTATGTCGAGAGTTTGTTGTCCCTTGTCCCTTGGCTAAAGCTGGTCCGTTCTCTCTTATGCCATAGGCACCTCCATGAGGCAGCGTCACGTTCATCCCCGTGCCCCCTCGCGCATGCCTATCGCACCCATCGGTGCGAGCAGAATTTGTCGCCTTTGTTTGCCTGTGGGTAGAACACACGTAGACTATTTCAGTCGTAGGAAGACCAACAATGATCGTTGGTGGTGTGTTCCACATGGTAGACTTCGAAGTAATTATTTCTGCTGTACTTCCAGTAGCGCCTAATGTCTAGTTGTTGCATCGGCATGTGCACGGCTGAGATGTGCATGGCAGAGAGACACACTGACTGCCACCATGGGATGACGCATTAGTCTATACATGCGGCTCGAGACACTCCCTCGATATCGGTATCATCGGGGCGCAGCCCTCCTTGTAGTAGAGTGCTATCGGTTGTGTTAGGTATAGACATGCCTGGCTACGTTCGTCGCCGTCGGTTTATGGCGTCGAACAGAGACTCTCAACGGATGCGTGCGCGTGTTGCGGTGTCGATTGTCATCGTTGGTGTTAAGACTATGGGTATCGATTTACGGACGTTTTTTCCTGCTGTGCATCATTTGTTACCATCGGACGCGTGACGCGAGGAGGGGAAGGAGGGTGTGAGGGTTGGAGTGAGACAGCTCCGGTCCCGGAACGGCCAGAGCCTTGTTGTTGTGCGTTCACTTTAACGAGGCCAAAGAGAGCCCCCTAAGAGAAAGGAGAAAATTCGACAGGACTGTCCATTGGTTGTGGGTCATGACTCATGGGGAGTGACCAAAGGTGGAGGGTTCACTTTCAGGTACTGCTCATCACCACACAACTCGGCGACAAACACATTTGCAACAGCAAGGAGTTTGTGCTGGCGATATTTATCTTCATTCAGCATCGACCGCGCTAACCGATCACCAATGAAAAGAGGCGGAAGATGAAAAACAAAGAAGCGCTTCTTCTGACAAGATCTGGCACCCGTGAGCGGGGTCACGGGAGAGGCTAGGTAGGGCATTCTCCGGATAGAAGACGAGGACTCCTCGTAAGACTTGAGCATCAAGGCTTGCCATGATTGTACAGCACAACAAGCACAAACAACCCTCCTATTTCGTACAACTACAACTATTCAGGGTCACACAGCGGGGGGTAAACACCAGGGTTTTTTTCTTCTTTTCCTTTATTATCATGCCCCACCTTCCTCCCGCGGTGCGTGCTGAGTTTTATTTATATCGCGAGAAGGGTCCAGCCGTCCCTTTCCCCCGTCAACGGTGCTAACGTACGTCGAAGTGTGGTACTCACGAGAGCTTTCCAGCTATATTTCGCTTCCACCCGCAAATTTTGTAAACTTTTCACACCATGGGGATCCGAACTCACGACCTCTGCGACTAGCGGTTTACGACGATACCACTAGAACACTGGGGCGACCGGCTTAGTACACCGAGCAAATGTAACAGCCCAAAACAGCACATCACCGAACTAAACCAACCATACACACGCATTTAGCAAAACAAATGCCCAAACGCGTCGATTTTGGCAACCAACGAGTAGCAACAAATGAGCAGACCCTTGAACGCTTCTAATACAGCTTCTTCTATGAACTGCATCAGCTGGACTATACATTGACAATTTCCCACAACGGTATTGTGGCAACGACGGAGCCTCGGGATGCACCGATCTCTTCACATCCCTCTCCCCCTTGGCCCCGTGCTCGTTTACGAACTTGCATCGCACGCAGCTCGATAGCAGCAGTGAAACGTGGTAATCAACGCTACTAGTGCGGACCAAGATATTGTACGCCTACTTACACAGGCTGCAGCCGCATGAATTCCCCCACCCCGGAGCACCTGTTTATCAACAACTAAATCACGGAGATAGCGAATCAACACAAAAAATAGCAACAAACCGCCGAAAAGACCATGCGGCTGGGGCTCAAGCGTAGTCTACATCTTCCGCCGCTATCCTCGAAGATTTTGTACGCCTCATCCCCGTCCTGCTCTGTTGTTTGCCACACGAGGGTAAAACAAGAAAGCGAACGAGGCCAGAACACCATAATTTGGCGGGTTGGCCGAGTCTCGTCCCAAACCATCAATATCAGCGAAGATGTCCGATACAGACAGGCGAAAACAATGACATCTTTATTCTGTTCTTGTCGCGGCGAGGCAAACACCTTACCACCTACTTGCCCGTGCGACTTCCTGCCCTTGCTGCGGTCCACCCCCTGCAATTCCACCTCAATACTACGTTTTCTTAACTATTCGTCATCCGCATTATATTCAAACTCAATGACGTATAGTGCACTCCTAAGGTGAAACCGTGTCATCCGGCGCGACAACCTCCAAAAGTCGAAAATAGGCCAAATCCATTTTGCCACCTCACGATGTTACTCCAACTTTACCTATCGTTGGTCCACCGTTGCCGCACCGCACAAAGGCATTTCGGAACACTTGGGGGCAAATACCCTCCCCTGCGTGCCCATCTTAATGTCCTGTTTTCTCTCAAACGCACATCAAATTCCTCCTCCCTCGCTCTTTCCACTCAGAGCATTTCGGTTTTGAGGTTTTTCGCCTCAGACGATACTAGCTTTGCAATGTACCTCACCGAGAGCTGGGGGGGACGCCGAACAAATCGTGCCTCGTTTCCAGCAACACCTGTTCAGATGCCCGGTGCACACAACATTCCTCGTGGACCTACCGTCGAGTCCAGCTTCAAGCAGCGTTGCTTGGCGCGCTCTCTCTCCCTCTCGATGGATCTCCATTCCCAGTAAGAAGGGGTGAGGCAAATAGCTCGAACCAATGAGGTCCTCATGACCCCACCCCGCCCTTGCGGGTAGTGGGTGGTTCATTTCAGCTTGGACAAATACTCCCGGTGCTTGAAGCAAGCCTAGGGAGAGTGGCGTCAAGGTCCAACAATCAATCTATTCCTTACACTTCAAGCACCTCACTCGCGCCACCCTCGACCAATATGTTTTGGGTAGGTGCCACTCCTGCAGCCCAGTGGGTGGAATGTTGACCTCTTTCGATGGCAACACTTTTCGTTCCATACCGTGAGCCACCTAGCTCAATATCACCCGGGGCTGGCTGCTTCTGCGTGAATGTTGAAGATATGAAAGACCAGAGGAAGGGAACGAGTGAGTGTGAAATAGAAGACCTTTCCGAGCATGGTCTACAGTAGCCATACCCCAAATCCAGCAAGGAACCCTGCCCCGGCCGTATCGTTATGCCTGCCTAGCTAGCTATATGTCCTCACGTCTACGCAGCTGCTACTCCCGCCTGTAGGGGCGGGGAGTCCATCATGGTCTGGACGTTCTCCCTCTGCGTCCTCACGCTCTTGAAGCGGTCCGTGTTCAGAAAGCGGCGGAGGAGATTGGCTTCCAGCATACTCTTCACCTCCAGATACGCTCGTCCAAAAACCAGCCTGAACGCCGTAATTGAGTTTTGAGGGGTGAGGTTGCGGATTGGTAGGAGGGGTGGGGTTTTCATTGGTTTGTGGCTACGGTAGGCCTGGGCATAGCCGTGAAACCCATCCCTGTCGAGACGCTCACATGCAAAACTGACATTTTGGAATCGTGGGCTGAGGGGGCGGGAGGCAGCACTACATCCAATAGAACATATTTCACCCACATCGTTCAGATACTCACGAGTGGGGAACAGTGTGGGAGAACAAGACACATTCAGGAATGGTACTCTCCAACGTCCGCGAAAGTGAGACGACCCCAATGAAAGGAACCGTTGTACCTTGTCTTCCATACCCAACAAAGAGGAACGAGAGAATGCACCAGCGCCAGAAACGGCTGCTTGTACGCGTGTTTTCTTGTGTGTTTCCTGTGTCTCGTCGCTCACCTTCGCTCCTCCTCGTTGACGTCCTCGAAGTGCTCTTCGCCCTTCTGGTACAGCTCGAGTATCCGCTTCTTGTCCGCGTCGCTGAATTACGAGACGAAAAACGAACCAAGCATCGAACGCGACGGGGTGATTTTTTCTCTCTACTACAACGGTAGGCAACAGAAGTCTCGGTAGCAGGCTGTCGGTTCGGGAGCTCCGCAGACCTGAATCCTGGAACACCGTTCGAGTCCACCGGAACTGATGGCGTCCTCACAACCAGCCTGAACAAAACTAGTGGTCACCTCAAACTTGTACGAGGCTTGTGGCCTGACGTTGGGCTCGTGAAACGTGGCATGTTCATGCTGGTACACTGCGGAAGACACACGCCCTTAGAGGGAGAGATAGTTCGACACAACAAGCACCAGAAATGGTCATCTAACCCATCACCGAGCACTTGACCGCATGAAAAGCGCAGCGTTTTCTGATAAAACCGCCGTTTCCGAGATGGTTTGAGGATATTCGTCGCCACCACGCCAACATCACTTGTTACCACCTGGATATTTATGCCGTTGTGAATCACGAATATGAACATCGACCACCGCCGTGTGTTTGAGTCATTTCACATCGTTCCCTGTTTTCCCCGCTCCGCACCTGATGTTCACTTCCTCCGGCGAGCCGGCCTTAATGAAGGTGTTTGTGATGTAGCAGAACGTGCCGAACTGGCTCGGAGATGACCGGGTAGGATCTTGAGTCGGGGTAGCGTAGTCTTCGTGCTGATACCTAACGCGAGAAGTAGGGAAACGCGGGGTTTGGGCGACGAAGAGTGAGAGTACATGGGGTCAAAATTTGCCTCCACCTAGGCTTGCTTGTCGAATAGCTTAGCCCGGATGCGGTATTTCCGTTGGTTCCACTATCGAATTCTGCCAACCATGCATGGACAAACAGCAGTGACAACACTCCCGACACGACATGACAGTTTTCGGGGCTCTCAGATTCCTTTTTCGCACAAGTTGATGTTACCGAACGTAGGCGCCCCATGGCGGCCTGAAATGCTTAAGTCATTATACAGGAAAAGGATATGCACTCGATCGCATTTTGCACGTCGCATGCGCCTCAACGCACACGAAATACATAGCGAGCGTGACATGACGGCGGCGGCCATACGAACGGGTCCCAGCGCGCAGCCGGAATTGCCGGGCAGGTACGCCGTGGCATTTGATAGAGACAGACAAGCGTTTGCCCTGGACATCTGGACATGCTATGAAAGTGGTTCCCCTTTCCACGGCCGGAACACGATGCCAGGCGCAGCACTGTGTCAGGGCGAAATACAGTAGCCAGCGTCGTGACAAAGTCGAAACGTCTCCCCGAAAGAAATCTACAGTCGCAACGGCGGGTTCAAGAAAGTACTCACAGATGTATTCTCGAGACGGGGAGGGACAACACTCCGCCCAAGCGAAGGTGTGGGGCACTAACGGCTAGCGGTTTTCCTAAATGACTCAACCAGAGGTACTTCAAGTCGATTCCATCAGAACATACAACCGGGTAGACCGCAGGAGCGGCCGTACGCATTCGAAACGAAACGGCTACAGTCAGAAGGCAGGGGAATCACACACCAGGGCACAGAAACTCTTCGTTCACTGGTTGCGGCTTACGAAGGCATCCAATCCACAACGCGATAATGTCGGAAACCACGGCCAAAAACAAGAGGGAGGAAGGAACAATATGCGCAGAACACCGTGCATGCCACCGCATCGTCTATGATCCTCGGGTAAGATACAGTGGTCCTTGAACAGCGCCAGCATGTGCTTGCCGGAACACCGGCACTATCCGGGCATCGGTAACATTCAACCGGCACAACAGAGGGACCATTGCGTATCTTCTTCTCTGTGTCCCTCTCCCCCCCGGCGTTACTTACCGAGAAACCTCGGTCAGAAAGAGCACCGACTCGTGGCAAAGCGCCCTCTTGGAATAGTCCTCGAACGCGACGGCTAACAGCGGCGTCCTCGCAAGCCGTTCGAAGTTCCACACCTCCATCTCTCTTTCCGGACGGCCTCGACCGCCACCACCACCACGGCGGCCGCGGAAGCTACCCCTCTTCCTCTGCCCCCTCTGAGCGACGTCGCGTCTGTTGCCGCTGATGCTTGTGTCGTTGGATACGGAAGACGATTGCTTCGTAATAACGGAGGTATTGATTGGTTCCCGCTCGTTCCACGTACCGGCAGCAACAGCACCATTGGTGTCGGCGGTGGATGTGGTAATCACATCGTTCCCAATGACGGCCGAGGCGACGACGTTGCCAACGTCACCATCTCCTCCTGCCGTTGGTGTTTCGGCTTTGCCCGGGACTCCTCCAAGATCTCCTTCCTCGGGCCTGACTTCCTCGTCGCTGTCGGCACGTATCCTGGAGGAGTCGCGGCTTCTTCCCGACGAAACCCCTGACGCTGTTCTTATCTTGCTGTAGCGATTTCGTGAGAGAGAAGGGGGGGGGTCTCATGCACTGCTTGCCTTTGAATGCTGGAATATTGTCAACGCGTTGCATTTGAGGCGGTGAACCGTTCATATCAACGCGACGGAGAAACGTCCACCATCCGGAAATCTGCTACAAGCTCTGTGGTGTTGACAAATATATTGATGTCGATGATGGCACGACCTCTTCTGCATCCATCAGATGATCATAGCCTCAGTCCACCCCCCTGTGATGGCGTTTACATCAACACTCTGCGGCCTTATCACTAGCTCCTATGGGACATCGCTTGTCTCCTCGTAGAACCACCATTTGACGATCAAGCTTTCCCTCTACCTTCACAATCGCGTACATCCCCGTGTCTTACCCAGCTCGGGCCACGCATTGGTACGGGGTTCTCCAACCTTCAGCTCTTAGTCGGCAAGACCGGAGGAAGATTCGTCGGAATTTTAACAGCAAATCTACGATACCCACAACAGGAGAACTCCTTCCGTTTTGGTCCACAGACCAGACAAAGAGAAAAAACTGGCCGGCTCTATCCGCAGACCTACGAAAGGAGCGTTGCTCAGCCGTGCAGGGGGGCCGGTGTCCGTGCCCCTGCTTCTCCTCTTGCTACTTGTAGTTTCCCACCGTTCGTGCTCTGTCGCTTACCTGTCGGGTTCCGTGCGGCTGAGCAGTACCCGATCGGCGTAGTTGCGCTTTGTTGCTGCGAAAGGATCCAAAGATAGGCGTCGCAGCGGGTCCACGATACTGCGTATCACAACGTTGCATAAGGAACAACGTTTGGTGAAACCTTATCTTTGCTGCGTTGTTTGCCGCACGTTTCGTCTTAAGGGTACCCAGGCGTCGAAGAGCAAGAGGTCACCATATACGACAACATTCAAGTCGCGCGTTGAGCAGTCACACTCGCCCTTACGCTAGCGGTCGGGAGACATCCGACATCAACTTTTCATGGTTCCCATCCAAAGCCCGCTCGCAAGCATCCAAGATAAGAAAACCAACGACCGGAGAAATATCAAAACATACCCCCGAAAACCTATCAACCTAATTCAGACACAGGGCCCCCGTCAGCCTACCGAATCTTCCGTCCACGCGTTCACCTAGTCGAAACCCATCTATCTGATCGAATCAAGACAGTATTTCCCCCATAGATGGATGATGAACAGACACACCTGACGCCAAAGAGAACAGCGGCGATGAAGAAAGAAATGTTGTTTCCAAGCCATCTCTGCTCGTACACCCCTCCCCACTCCGCGGTGGCCTTCTGCACGACTGGCGTGGTTCGTATCGAGAGCAAGACAACAGAAGGAGAGGGCGACGATTACACGCTAAAGCAGCGACACCATCTCGGCAGTTGCGACAAGGACAGAACAGCAAGCGAAGAGTAAGGGATTAGGTGCACGCGTTCGACAGTGGTAGACGTCTGCTGTTAACACTATCCTCGTCTGAGCATTGCCCATGTTGGAGAACTCGCGGCATGTTAATAGGCTAAGTTTCGCCGGAAAGGTCACGTCGAAACAAGCACAGCAGTGCCACAGAAGAACCAAACGTGTTACCTGCACCTGCAGTTAGTAAACCTTGTCCGGCGGATGCTACTGCACAGGAGGCCGTGCGCGTCGGCTTCCGTCGGGTCTCACCTGCAAGGCACACGATCGCCACGGTAACCAAGAAGAGCTCCTTGCTGATGTTGAAGAGATCGTCAACGTTCCGGATGAAGGGATAAATGCAGGCCAGCGTCACCGCGAACACCAGGGCCATCGTCGTGAGGATTGTGATCTGCTTCGGAATGATCTCCCTGGGCGTGCAGGGACGGAGGAGGAATAGGAGGCGCGACAGGAGAGCAAAGCGGCAGAGTGGTCAAGACCCGAACGATGGGCTACGTTGTCGACGCCACATTGGGTTAAAAAAAGGGCAGATGGTTGACTACAACGCCAGTCGGACATCGTGAGGCATACGCAGTGCCCATTTACAAAACAGATCATGAAGCCCGTCGCGGTGTCACATCGTGAACCCCTAGAGCTGGTTGCGGCATGGATTGAGTTATCATTCTTACGTGTGCAAAGCCATTTTTTGCAGCATCATGGGAGAAGTTTTCCCGTTTGTTTTGTACTCGGTCTCACCAAACCTCCAAGGTGTACTCCTGATAGATGGGGATTGCCATCATTCCCACGCTTGCTACGAGCAGCACCGCCATGTAGTTACGCTCCTGTCAACCCGAGGGTCGAGGAAACACGTATCCATTGCAAGCAGAATGTAAGAGGGGGGGCGGTGCACGCTGGCAGGTAAGATGAAGAGCGGTTCAAGAGGCCAGAGAGGGGGCGCTATCTCGGATTGTGAGCGACATATGTTGCCGATGCCAGCCGAGTGATTCGACCGTGGTTTGGGCGCGGAACGACGCAAGCAAGATAGTAAATAGAGCAACAGCAACGCAACATTGTTCTAATTGGAGAGGGAAGTACACGAACGAGACGCAGAGGAGATACCACACATGCGCTGTCGTGGATCACAAAACGTCCTCTTACGCAAACACGCTCAGAGACTACTTGATCGAACGACGCCAAATTGAGAAAGAGACCGCAGTACCGGGATGAGCCACGGTAGGGCACGCTTCGCCCTCGGGTGGAAAACCACGGCCAGGCGGAGCGCGCGGCAGATGTAGCTCCCCTTCAGCGCAGGCGAGATGAAAAAGAGCAGCAGAGACATCCAGAACCAGTCGAGCCCGCTGTCCCAGATGACGTTGATTGACCCGTTGATGGCGACCACCATCGTCAGGAGCACGCACACGCCTTCGACCATGACCAGATGCGCAGACCTGTTCATGCGGTCGGCGAGACATAGATACGGAAATGAACTACAAATGTAGGGATTTGACAGGGGTTTCGCCCTAGTTCTTGATTGCGTTCTCCCTTGCATGCATATGCACAAACCGTTCGTGCTTAATGGGGGGGGGGGGCGTGCTCATGTCTTACTTGCCTTGGTCGCTAGACCATTGACCACGCGTCCTCGAGAGGATGGATCATTGTTCCGACAGGACCGATCGCCGATGGCCAATCGTTCCTTCCTACGTTGTGAGGTGGGCGGGT